GAAGGGATGAATGAATTCTTCCAGTAACCCAAGCTGGAATTCTGAGACTTGACTTGGACTTTATCTTCTCTGTGGCTGACCACATCCAGTCTGGCTGCCAAACCATGTCAGTTGTATGTCTGGTATATCTCTTATATTCCTTCATTTCCACTACTGTCCCTTGGATATTGCAGTGGACTTCCTGCTGGTCTTTATTTCTCCATACCTTTCCCTTGCTAATCTTTTTCTGTGTCTTGCTACTAGAGTAACGCTGAGTCACAGGCATGATGATGATGATGATGATGATGATGGTGATGGTGATAATTGGTATTTACTGAACACTTATTGTGGGCCTGCCTCACTATTTCTATGTGTTTATATGCATTTTCTTATTAAATCCAAGTAACAGCCTGTGAAGTAGATACTGTAATTATCCATATTTTGTAAGTAAAACCAAGGACCAGAGAATTAAGCATCTTCTCGAGATCATACAGCTAAATGACAGAATTGGAATTTTATTCCAAGCTGTTTAATTCCAGAGCCCAAGCTGTAACTACTATGCTCTTCTCCCTCCTGCAAAAACGTCTTCACACCATTCATTACAAACACAACTGGAGTACCTTTCAGTTTTACATTCGGTACCTTGTGTGAGCTGACCACATCTCTTGTTACTCACTCACTTTTGTTTTTTCTGTGCCAAACTGAATTCTTCAGTGACCTATATATTCACACTCCTCCCTGTAATTTTATTCGTTCTCTTTTTTCCTGCCTGGAAAGCTATGTTCACCTTCTGCCTCTTCATCTAAATCCAGTTCAAATGGCTTATTTTTCACTGGGTTGCCTGATACTGATCTCCCCCTGACAGCATGTTCTCTGAACTGCTCTTATGACATTTATCACTTTTACTTTTTATCATAATTACCGTGTTTTATGTTTTGTCTCCCCTATTAGCCTGCAATCTTCTTTTAAAAAATTTTTAATTTAAATTCAATTTAATTAACATGTACTGTATTATTAGTTGCAGACGTAGAATTCAGTGTGTCATCAGTTGCATATAACGCCCAGTGCTCATTACTTCAAATACCCTCCTTAATGCCCATCACCCTGTTACCCCACCCACCCTCAGCAACCCTGTTTTTCCCCCATAGTTAAGAACCTCTCTTGGTTTGCCTCCGTCTCTATTTCCCTCTTATTTTATTTTTCCTTCCCTTCCGCTGTGTCCATCATTTTGTTTCTTAAATTCCACATATGAGTGAGATCATATGGTATTTGTCTTTCTCTGATTGACTTATTTCGCTTAGCATAATACTCTCTAGCTCCAACCACATCATTGCAAATAGCAAGATTTTATTCTCTTCCTGTGTTTTGGTAATTGCGGACATTGCTGCTATAAACATTGGGGTGCATATTAGCCTTCAGTCTTCTTAGTTGCAGCATGTATGTATTTTTCTTCTGTCCCTATGCTTTGTATAATGCATGCTTTCAAATAATTTTTCTTTATTAAATTTCTCTTCAAAAAATGTGTTCAGTAAGTGAAGAATTTAACTGTTACTCATAGACCATTAACCACAAGATTTTTGTATATGTGGCTTTTTAGTGTGCCCTGTCTCATTTCTATGTGGTTCAATAGTTCATTATACTAATGCACATATATATATATATATATATATACATATATATACATATATATGTGTATATATATATATATATATATAAAGCGTGTGTATGTGTATAGATAGATCTGGTGAAAATGTTTATGATCTGAGGGTTTTTTTTTTTTTCTTAAATAGTTCGTAAGGCTGGTTTAAACTACTTCAGTTTGAACCATTTCATTGAATCTAAGACACATGTTTTTCACATGGTGAAATCTCTAGCATACAGTTTTATTTTGTTTTTTAAATCTCTCTATAATAAATTGGTGGTGTTTTAGAATCCAGGTAATGCAGCAAATAGAAATAAACAGTGACTTTTAGTTAAATGGCCTTTTGGAACAATACTTAAAATTTGGAGTTTCGTTTATGTTCAGGTCTCTGTAGATTCTGATATTTTGTTCACTCTTATTTCATCATTGCTTAAAGCCTTTATAATGAGATGGTAAGGAGTAAGGGTTTGGTTTTGTTTTTTTTTTTGTTTTGTTTTGTTTTTTGGTTTTTGGTTTTTTTTTAAGATTTTATTTATTTATTCGACAGACAGAGATCACAAGTAGGCAGAGAGGCAGGCAGAGAGGAGGAAGCAGGCTCCCTGCTGAGCAGAGAGCCTGAGGTGGGGCTAGATCCCAGGACCCTGGGATCATGACCTGAGCCTAAGGCAGAGGCTTTAACCCACTGAGCCACCCAGGCACCCCAAGGGTTTTGTTTTTATTTATTTTTTAATTGGGGAGGTTTGGGAGAAGATTAATGTTTGAGTAAGTAGAATTTTAAAAAGTAATATATGAATAGAATTAAAAGCAAGTTTCAGGATTTCTAAAGTATTATTTATATAAAATTTTAAAACATGCAAAATAATACCATACCTCCTTAAGGGATACATACAGATGCAGTAAGAACATGATGATGTTACAAGACAGTCATAAACCCCAAAGTCTGGATGGTGATTACCTTTGGAGGCAAGGTAATGGGTAATTAAAATGAGGGAGAGATGGCTGGCTGGCTGTGTTTGTCTCCTTGGCTCTGTACCTATTTGTCTATCTGAAATAACTCATAATTTTTAAAAATGAGGGGAAAAGGAATACATGTTGGGATGTACTTGTGATGTTAAACTTGAGTAAAAATATTTAAGTTTGGGGTGCCTGGGTGGCTCAGTTGGTTAAGTGTCTGACTCCTGATTTCAGCTCAGGTCATGATCTCAGGGTTGTGAGATGGAGCCCTACATCAGGTTCCACGCTCAGCATGGAGTCTGCTTAAGATCCACTCCCTTTCCTGCTCCCCACCCCCAGCTCACTTGTGCTCTTTCTCTCTCTCAAAAAGAAAAAAAAAAAAAGATTTAAATTTAAACAGTACAATTCCCCCACCCTGCTCCCTTGTTTCCCTCCCAGAAGTAAACATTTTACTCGTTTCTTTGAACCTTTCCAAAGATGTGTACATAAACAAGACTATATTTCTGTATAAATTTCTCTGCCACCTTTAAAATAACCACTCCAGGGGCACCTGGGTATCTTAGTTGTTGGGCATCTGCCTTTAGTTCCGGTTGTGATCCCAGGGTCCTGGGATCCAGCCCCACATCAGGCTCCCTGCTTGATGGGAAGTCTGCTTCTCCCTCTCCCACTCCCCCTGCTTGTGTTCCCTCTTCTGCTGTCTCTCTTTCTGTCAAATAAATAAATAAATAAAATCTTTTAAAAATAAAATAACCACTGTACCCTCTTTTGCATAAATAGTAGTCTTCTCTGTACGATTTTATGCTTTGCATTTTTTACTTAATATATCTTGATACATCTTGATATCTTGATATCTTGGTATTTCATATCAGTACATTGAATATATAGTTTTAATAAAAATAGATTTAGCCTTATATCAATAATAATTACTTTTTTGTTTACCAATTATAGCCTAGACTTTATTCATTAATAAGTATGTGTTTATGTATTAGATTTGTGTAAGCAAATTAAGCAGCAGGAAATCTGGGTTTCTCCCTAATTCCTCTTTCCAGACATTCTTGCGGCTTCCTGAGGTATCTTGATGTAGAACCTGACCATTCCCTAGGCATCTCCAGTTTGTGGATCATGTTCTCTCTGGAAGGTGGAAAGGGAGGACATTTGGGTTCTGGAGCCCAGTGTCCAGGTTTGAATCCCCTGCTCTGCCACTTACTGGCAGTGTGACTTGAGTAAATTAGTTCTTTGTACTGATTCAGTTTCTTCATATGTAAATGCATTGACTATCCCTTTCTTGTATAGTCATATTGAGAACTAAATGAGTGAAAAGTGCCTGATACACAGGAGGCACTATAAGTGTTAGCTGGTTTTATTGTATTGATCACTCAGCTGTCTGCTGCCCAAGCTGTGGCCAATCTCCAGACAGGCAACCCCACAGTCTCATCACTGACCTCTTTAGACTTTGGTCTCTGGCTAGTGAGAAAACTTCATTCTCTTTTTTCAGAAGCTGCTCTTTTAGAGAAGGATCTCCCAGCTGGCCAGTGATGCCCTATATACCACAGCTGCCTTCTCCTTAAGGCACCGGGGCTGTCCGCACAGTTGGGGTTGAAGCAGAGCCTCCCATCTGCCCGGAATTCTTTGCACTCTTGATTGCCCTTGCTGCTCACACTAGACTTCTCTGCCAGAATTCTTCTGCATGTTTTTCCTCATATGTGATTTTTCTCAAGACCAGTGGTCCCACTCTCTATTGTTCCTTCAGGAGCCTCCATGCTTGTATGTGTCTGAATCCACTTAATATCAGGGTTTAGGCTCTTTCCATTGGGTCCCCGGGCCTCATATGTAAATCAGGGGATGTGGCTTGATAATCTTTTTTAAGGGCTCCTGGATATATTGTGACTGATATGTTTCCCAAACATATTATAAGATAGTTAGGAGGCCAATGTCCCCCGAGCACACAGAGGATCCCTACGGAGCAATGACTGCTCTAGGCCAGCCAGGGCAGTGGTCTGATATGAACAGTTATTGCTAACATTTGAGTAGCAGTTTCCATTACAAGGTGCTTTTCACATAACTTCACTCATACAGCTCTGAGGAAGGGGTCCATATCTCATTCCCATTTTCTCGTGAGGAAACAGGGCTAGAAACGTGGTCACATTGATTAAAAAAAAAAAAAAATGGACAGGCCTTCCTTTTGCTTCTGTGTCACTCATACCAAACTATCTTCTTACCAGATGAAAAAGACCATATGTTACAGTTTTAGCAGAATTGATATTTTTATAATGGGGGGTTTAATGTTAGCTAGGTTTGGGGTGAAATTAACAGTATTAAAAACTATTGAATAATCTCATTTAAATTTAGGTCTCTTTGTACTCTGTAGGTTTGTGTGAACTGTAGCTAATTTTGTTTAAAAAAAAAAAATTGTCCTTTTTCTCAGAGCCACAATGGACACGGCTAGCCATAGCCTTGTCCTTCTGCAGCAGCTGAACATGCAGCGAGAATTTGGTTTTCTGTGTGATTGCACAGTTGCCATTGGAGATGTTTACTTCAAAGCCCACAGAGCAGTGCTTGCTGCTTTTTCTAACTATTTCAAGATGATATTTATTCACCAAACAAGGTAAGGACATGGTTTTGTAAATCTGAAGTTTTTAATGTGATATAGCTAAGCCTTATTATAACATCATTTGGGGGACTCTTTATTATGGGGTCACCTTAAGAAAAAATACGTATTTTTTTGCACATCCAGTAATTCATCTCAGTATGTAGGATCCATGGTGGAAGGTAAAAATGAAAACAGTAGTATAGCTAAAATTTGTTGAAGGCTTATCCCATACACAAGCACTAAGTATTTACCTAATGTACATTCTACTATTATCCATACTATTTTAGAGAAAAGGAAACTGAGCCTGGGTCAAGGAATTGGCCCATCCAGGATTATACAGCTAGTAAGTGATCCTCTAATGCAGATCTGTGCTTGGATCTATTTTCTGACTCATTAGATAGATATCTTTTCTATAATACTTTCATAGCAAGGGTGTAATGTCATAATTCTACACACCTTATATTCCATATCACAGTTCAAAAGACATTTGTTTCAAATACTTTTTTCAGAAAGTGTTTTGGTTTTTTGAATGTGGGTTATCCCAGCACGACAGGTATGTAGGGAGTGGGCAGGGACGTCATGTCATACTCAGCTTCTGAGCTCTTAAAGAATAGCTTTAATCCTTCGTAGGTTGAAGGTGATAGAATTCTCTGTTGTTGTTTTTTTTTAAAGACCTTTCATGAAAAACTTAGAGGAGTCTAGCCTCAATTACACATTTTCATTTCCCTTCATCCTTTTAAATATTTGTTGGGTACTTACGTGTCAGCACTATGTTAGACCCCAGTAACAGGCTAGGATGCTCACTGTCCTCAAGGAGTTCATAGTTCAATAGAGAATACATGTAAAGAAGACAATCGCGATGTAATTGATCTGCCTGTGCCTCAGTTTCCTTCTCTGTCAAACACTGGCATAGTATGTAAACTTAACCAATGGTGTTGAGATTAAATGGATTAATAATATTAAAATGCTTAGAACAGAGCTTTGCTCTGTCAGCTACCGTTATCAATAATTAATGTGATACGTCTATAATAGAAGTGTTGTATAAGGTAGAGTGGAGTGTCAGTAGCCCTATTTTGAGGAGGTTGGAATAGGCTTTACAGAAGCCCCGGATCTTGAAGGATCAGGAGGAATTTTTTTCAGATATTGTAAAGGAATGCAAGAAGGAGCATTGCAGGCAGAGGGAAAAAGTGTATGAAAACATAGGCAGACATGAACTGGGCTAGTACATTCAGGAAACAGAGTAGACCAGAATGGTTGGAATGCATGGCACAAAGTGGGGAGGAGGTTGGAGTGGGAGATATGTTATGGGTAGTGTCAATGTAGAAACTGGATTAGAAACCGTGCCTTCACCTCAGTCTTGTCTAAGAGCTAGGAGTTGGTTCAGCTCCCAAAAACCTGTTCGTGTGCCAGGCACCATGCTAAACTAAATCCAAGAGATACAAAGGTGTCAGGCCTGGCTATGTGGTATCTCTGTTGAACAACTAAAAGTCCTCAGATAACAGCGCTGTGCTGATATATAAAACCCCTCCCATAGACCCTGGAAGTGGGTGGGTGAGAGCTAAGAGTGAAACCCGAGAGGGAATCCTGAGATATGGGGACTAAAGAAATGGCTTGCCAGCATGTGACACCCGGTGCATTCTGAAGCAGACAGGAACATTTGCTTCAGGGAAAGTAAGTCCATTGACTGGGACCGTTGTTTCTCCAACACTCCCCTCAGGTTCTCTTTATCCTAATTTTGCAGGGTATTTCCTGATTTCTTGTTATGCTGTTATTTCTATTATCTGAATTGTAGATTCATGTTTAAAAATTGAGCTTGGGTTATTTTGAAGTTTTTCAGTTGTACCTATATTCAGTTGTGATTTAAAGAGTAGATACATTACTATAGTTCGGAAGCCAAAATAAGGTTAGTGTAACTTAAGTTCCAAATATTACCAATTTTAATGGATTCTTTTAACATTTTAAATATTTTTTATTTTAGTAAAATATAGACAACATAAAATTTGCCATTTTAACCATTTTAATCATACAGTTCACTGGCATTAGGTACATTCACAGTGTTGTGTAACCATCACCACTTACATTTCCAAAACTTTGCATCACCCTAAACATCAACTCTGTACCCATTAAGCAATAACTCCCCATCTCCCCACCTCACCCCAAGCTCCTGGTAAACTCTAACCTACTTTCTGTCTCTCTGAATTTGCCTATCCTAGATAATTTTTATAAGGGACATCATACAAAATTTGTCCTTTTGTGTCTGGCTTATTTCACTTACCAAACGTTTTCCAGGTTCACCCATGCTGTAACATCATTCAGAACGTCATTCCTTTCTTTGGCTGAATAATTTGCCACTGTCTGTATATGCCACAATTCGCTTATCCATCCGTCTATTGATGGATGCTTGGGGTTGTTTCCACCGTTTGGCTAATGTGAATAATGCTGTGATGACCATTGGTGTCCAGGTGTCCGTTGGGTCCGTGTTTTCAGTTCTTTCAGTTGTGTATGCAAAAGACTGTTAGGTTCCTTAAGAGGAAGGTTTCTGTTTTCTTCATCAGGTTTCTCCTCCCTGGCACCTACTATAGTGCATACCACTTAGGAGTCACTAAATGTTGAACTAATCAGAATATCTGTGTGTGTTTCTTAACTTTAGCCAGTAGGTTGAATACATGAAGACTTGTTGCTGGGCCATAAAGCTGGTGTGCTATGAATGTTTAATTATCTGTTGCTATATTTCATCAAGGCAGATTGCTAAGTCTGAGCTTCTTAGGAAGAAATTGCATTAGCCTACAACTGTATGCTGCTAACTAAAAGGCCAGCTGGTCATTTTATCTTGTGTGGGTCTGTTTTTTGTTTTGTTTTTAACAGTGAATGCATAAAAATACAACCAACTGACATCCAGCCCGACATATTCAGCTATTTGTTGCACATTATGTACACGGGGAAAGGGCCAAAACAGATTGTGGATCATGGTCGTTTGGAGGAAGGGATTCGATTTCTTCACGCCGACTACCTTTCTCACATTGCAACAGAAATGAATCAAGTGTTCTCACCAGAGACTGTGCAGTCCTCAAATTTGTATGGCATTCAGATCTCAACGACACAAAAAACAGCTGTCAAACCAGGACTGGAGGTCAAAGAAGCTCCTTCCAACAACGGTGGCAACAGAGCTGCTGTCCAGGGTGACCACCCCCAGTTGCAGCTCTCTCTTGCTATTGGGCTGGATGATGGCACTGCAGAGCAGCAGAGGGCCCATCCTGCCACCCAGGCCTTGGAGGAGCACCAGAAGCCCCCAGTGTCCATCAAGCAGGAGAGATGTGACCCAGAATCTGTGATCTCCCAGAGCCACGCCTCACCCTCATCAGAGGGGACAGGTCCCACTTTCACCGAAAGCAGTATCAAAGTACACTTATGCCATTACTGTGGGGAACGTTTTGATTCCCGAGGTAACCTAAGGCAACATCTCCATACCCATGTGTCTGGATCCCTCCCGTTTGGTGTCCCTGCTTCCATTCTGGAAAGCAATGACCTTGGTGAAGTGCATCCACTTAATGAAAATAGTGAGGCTCTTGAATGCCGCAGGCTCAGCTCCTTCATTGTCAAGGAGAATGAGCAGGAGCCTGACCACTCAAACCAGGGGGCCACAGAGCCCCTGCAGATCAGTCAAGTGTCTTTGATCTCCAAAGACACAGAGCCAGTAGAATTAAACTGTAATTTTTCTTTTTCAAGGAAAAGAAAAATCAGCTGTTCCATTTGTGGTCATAAATTTCTCCGAAAAAGCCAATTGCTAGAACACATGTATACGCACAAAGGTAAATCGTACAGATATAACCGATGCCAAAGGTTTGGCAATGCGTTGGCCCAGAGGTTTCAGCCATATTGTGACAGCTGGTCTGATGTCCCCCTGAAAAGTTCTCGCTTGTCACAAGAACAGTTAGATTCATCTTGTGCCTTAGAGTCAGAGCTCCCACAAGAAAATGTGGACACTATCCTTGTGGAGTAGCAGTTTCTCCTTCACGACTTTTATATCCATTCTGAAAAAGAAAATTCACATGCATTTTTATTCATAAATTATTTTCCTCCTCAACTTCTTTTAACTTTTTTCCTTACCATTGATCCAGTTTTAAGGTTGTATATATTAGGTCTTCTTATTGTAAGATACATATGGCTATTAAAAGGTAACCTTCAAGTAGAGTTATGAACAATCATAAATCACAGTTCAGAAATCAGAAGTCAATGTAGGAACTATGGAACTTTAGAGTTAATATTTATAGAATTTTTAGGTTGTAGAATCAGTAAAACCGAGTTGAAAATGAAGTAAATGAAATATTTTTTAAAGAATATTCTAGACTATCAGTTTTGGCTAATTTTTCACATGAATACGCCACTATGAAGACTATTTAAAAATATTTTTGGCCATATAGGAAGTTAACGTTATTTTAATGCACAACTGTATGTTATAATGTATACAGATTTTGTTTTAAGGCATAGCTATAATAAATCAAAAGTAGCTTTAAAATCACTTTTTACTTATTAGCTCTGCAGCATCTTACATGGCTTTTTAAATTTTTTTTACATTGAACATACCTCATTTTTAATAAAAAATATTCTAGTGAAAAGAGAGGAAGGCAGAGGACTCAGACATTAAAATAAAGTCCTACAGAGAGAAATAGGAAGATACCTAGATAGATAAATGTAGAGACAGATTCAGATAGATCTACACTAACACCCAGTGTTGTTACCGTAATCTAGAGCATTCTTATAGACCGTAAGAATAATTTGAGATTTTTTTTTTATGACCAGAGATTTACATCAGTGTTAAAGAGGAAAATGATAAAATATAAATTACCTTTCTACTCTCAATGTCCGAGGATTTTCTCGGCTGCCCGAGTTGATGTTAATTTTCTAGGTATCACTTGAAAAAGTTGTTTTTTCAATGACACAGTTTTCATTTTTTCCTAATCCATAAAACTAGCAGTGGATACAGTCAGTGTCCTAGAACTATGTCTGAAATCCATGATAGCTTTTCCTTTGTGAATAAACTTAGGTCCCTTTTATAGCAGTGAAACCTAAAAAGCTATAACCTCGGAAAAATTAAAACTGATGGACTAAATGATAGATTCTCCTGCTTTCTGTGGCTGGGAGTAGCTGGTCAAACTTTTCCACAAAGGATAGATCTAAACTCTTTCTGAAACATTTAAATTTAAAAGATTAGATAATCCAGAATAACAAAAGAGAGAAGCTTTGAAACAGCCTCATCTTTTGGGTATGCTGCCCCGTTCAAAGCCTCATAGATATGTTAATAGATCTGGTTTGTGAAGCTTAGAAATTAAGTATATGCAGAAACTCTGAGCTCCTTTATGATGGTATCCTTCTGAGGACATCTCCTGACAGTGTCAGGGTTTAGTCAGAAGGGAGCTCAAAGACTAAGCTAGCTCATTCAAAGGGCACAAAGATTTTCTGTGGGTAAACAGTAAGGTTCTTAGGTCAGTTATGAAATGATAAGTTTTTCTTGAAAGCTGAATGAAGAAACCAGTGGGCATTGTTTAAGGTAGTTGAGTTTCTGCCTCAGACAAACGACTAAGGCTTCCTGGGGTCAAGACTGAGATGTGTTGCTGCTGACACAGGATCAGTTATACTGGGAGTGGTTAAAAACAAATGTGTTGCTCCTTGGGGTCAGAACTTCATTTAATCTTTAGTCATTCAAGCAATTTATTCAAATTTACACTTCCCTCAATGATTCCGTCTCATAAGATGAACACAAATATTAACATTGATTTCATGTATTTTAGACTATATATTCCCTAGCCGCCTTCAAGTAAAATTTTACTTTTCTCAGGAAAACAATTTTTCTGATTTCTTTCTTCTCTGTTCTTACCTTCTTGCCCAGTCGTTGGTCCTTAACACAAGAAATGTGTAGCTAAAGGGTGGATTTAGGGTATGTATGAGTTGAGGAATAGAGCAGCAGTGTAGGGCAGGGTCTAGAGAAATTCTAAGAGTTTTGCTATGGCTGATTAGCCATGGCAGACAACATTCATTCAAAGCTGAAATATATCTCCATGTGTTGGGTGTTAAGAACATAATGGTTAACTGTATTTTTATTCTCATTCATATAGTTCCTTTTGATATTAGAAATTCAAAGCAAATGTTCTTTCTTTAGCCTTTTTTTTTTTTTTAAGATTTTATTTTTTAGAGAGAGAGAGAGAGGGAGCATGAGTGGAGGGAGGGTCAGAGGAAGAGGGACTATCAAACTCCATGCTGAGCAGAGAGCCCGACGTGGGGTTCCATCCCAGGACCCTGGGATCATGACCTGAGCAGAAAGCAAATGCTTAACCGACTGAGCCACCCAGGTGCCCCTTTCCTTAGTCTTCATAATAGTCTCTCTGTTTTAGGAAGTGGAAAAATGTTAACTCCATTTTATAGAAAAATAGTCCCAAGAGGTGGGTTCCAGAGAACCAGTGAATAGTGCTGTGGGGACTGACCCCAGTTTAATTTTTTTCATCATTTGACAGACCTATTTTTAAAATAACTATGATTAATGAATGCTATGCCCTGAGTGTATTTTTTTAAGACATGATTCCTTACTAAGAAAATCTTACTTTGTATAAAAAAGGTTCTTGCAGCTAAAATCTTTAGTTTTGACCATGTCATCTGCAAAATGGAGCTATAATTTTAACCATATAGTACAGTTTGCATAATGATTACCAAGCTCTTCAAACAGGAAATGCTATATGCACCTTAATCAGTATATTAGGCAAATACTAAACAGACATTTTCTTCTTGGATCATCTTAGAATTTTCCCTTCTTTCCAGATACTCCATATAGTTGTCTTCTGAAGAAAAACAGACTTGTTTCAGTATTTGTTGCTATTAGTATATTGTCACAACTCTAGAACTCCTAAGTGCAGTCTGCCTTATACAAAAAGACAAAATTTCTTGATTTATGTCTCTTGAGATCATTATTTCATGCTCTGTTTTTCTGATTTCCCATTTGTAAAGTGGTTTTAAGTAATACCTACCTCACAGGCGTGTTGTGAGGATTTGTATTAAAATTTTGTTAAGTTTGGGGCTCAGTCAGTTAAGTGTCCCACTCTTGATTTTAGCTCAGGTTATGATCTCTGGGTCTTGAGATAAAGTCACATGTTGGGCTCTGTGCTGGGCATGGAACCTGCTTAAGATTCTCTCCCTATCCCTCTGCCCCTCTATACCCTTCTCTAACAACAACAACAACAACAACAACAACAACAACAACAACAACAACAAAGTGTTAAGTTCTCTTGGTTATTCTTAACAAAAAGCAACCATATAAAGAAAACTACATTTGTTCTATAGCTAAACTTAATAACTTCAGGATTCCAACCTGTAAACTCTAGAATATCATAGAACAGTCATTTATTATTTAATACTTAATAATTAATTGACACAATTCTTATTTTTTAGAAATATTTTGGAAACAGTAATGTTGCTGGAATTTCTTTTCTACTGTAGTTTAACTGTCAGTACTTCTCTTTAGCCTTTAGGAAGAAGGATATTAGTTCTTTGGCATTATAGGGAATAAACCCTGCCAATTTCAGCCTCATGGAAAGTTCCCCCAAACATATTCTTTACATATAGGAAAAGGAACAAAAGCAATGGAGAAAATATCATTTTCATTACTTTGATGTAGATCATCTAAAAAGTAAATGGGGACAAGAAATAAGAGTGGGGGGTGCCTGGGTGGCTCAGTGGGTTAAAGCCTCTGCCTTCAGCTCAGGTCATGATCCCAGGGTCCTGGGATCGAGGCCTGCATCGGGCTCTCTGCTCCGCGGGGAGCCTGCTTTCTCCTCTCTCTCTCTCTGCTTGTCTCTCTGCCTACTTGTGATCTCTGTCTCTCAAATAAATAAATAAAATCTTTAAAAAAAAAAAAAAAAGAAAGAAGAGTAGGGATAATAACATAGTAATTCATAATTGGAAGTAATTCCTAACAGAAAGGCCTCACTTTAAACAGAAGGAAATACATATTAATCATGGAAAAAGAGAGTCTGGAAAATGGTACAATTCCATTGATGTTTATCTGCACAGGCCAATTCTTACTGTTGTAACCCAGATCCTTGACAAGTGTGTCATTTTTTAGTAGTAATTGAGGTAAATAAGCCACATGAAGAATTTTTATAATGTAATTTGTGTCTTTGTACGTTTGAAACTAAATGTAGTTCTGTGGTATTTTATTATAATTAATTTTTGAATTCCTAAGAGTGAAATCTAGAACTGATCATTCTCTGCTGTACTTCCATGTTTGTATGGTTGGACTTTTTGAAAACTGGTAAGATTATACAGTCCCAAGTCTGGATGTCTTAAATGCAAGGAATCACAGACTGATGTTTGTCTTTGAGACCTGGAAGAATCCGTTGTTTCCGTGTGTACCTGTGCCACACTCGGTTACTTAGGAGACACCGCTCCAACACACTGGACATGAGCTGCCACCAACTCTTCTGTCTGGTGCCAAATAAAGTCAATTAGTCAGACTAGATCAGATAGCAACTTAAACTCGTTTCAGAGAAACTGGATTTCAAAAACGTGTGCAATAAAAAAGACCCAGTGAAGAAATCTTCCAAGAACAAGTAACACATGGCGAATCCGGGAGACTCTGGTGAACAGTGCGTGTTGTATGGCTGAGCTCTTCCACCTTATGGACTTTGAGTTTGCTTCAGAAACATTATTTTAGAAAGTTTAGTATCCTCTATTTGGAATGAAAGCAGTGAATTTCATGTATTTTATCATGACAAATAAATTAATGTGACTTGATCATAAAACCTTTTTTTAGTCCCACTTACAGACTGTGTTCTCATTTTGCAGCGGGGTCTGCCCAATGTTGTCATCCTAGCACTGGGGTCAGTATGTCTCTGTGCCAGGTAACATCTTGGACGAATGAGGCAAAAATGCATCACTGAGCCCCATTCTTATCAACGGTAGTGTGAATAGAAAATTGGTGTCCTACTCAAGTGCCTTCCAATTGCCATCTCTGGAAAGAAAGGTAACTTTTAGCCACTGCCCAGTAGTTCCCTGCTTTGCTTTCTTCCTTCTTCCCTATTTACTGTATTTTCTCTAGTAATGTAATCAACAACAGTGGTTCTTAGCCGGCGTATGTTCGTGTTCTACAGAGAAACAGAACCAGCGGTTATTATGTACAGAGAGAGAGAGGGTGATTGATGAGAGAATTGGCCCACACAAATCTGAGGCTGAGATGTCCCAAGATCTACAGCTGGCAAGCTGGAGACCCAGGAGAGCCGATGGTGTAATTCCAGTCTAAAAGCCAGTAGGCTCAAGTCCCACAAGGCCAGGAGAAGACTGATGTTCCAGCTTAACGGGCAGGAGAAATTCCCTTTGATCTCCGAGGGTCAGCCTTTTGTTCTATCTAGGCCTGCTGCTGACTGGATGAGAGGCACTCACTTTAGGGAGGGCAATCTGCTTTCCTCAGTCTACAGATTCAAATGTTTATCTCATCCAAAAACACCTTCCCATTCATGTCCAGAATGTTTATCCAAATATCTGAGCACCTGTGGCCAGGTGACACTTAACTAGACACACGGTGATCCCTCTCACTGTGGGGACATTTTGTAACAGAGCTGTTTTCAGTTGTCACAACTGGGTGGGGTGTGGGGAACGTTGCTGTTGGCATCCAGTGGGTAGAGCCTAGGGTTGCTACTAAGAATCTCCCAGTGCAGGAGACAACCGCCCCCGTCCCCACCCACAATAAAGAATTATCCAGCCCAAAACATAAGTAGTGCTAAAGTTCACGAGTCCTGGTCCAAAAGCTTAAAATAAGTTTTGTGATGGTTGTCAAGGACTAAGGAGTACTTACAGAGTATGAGATGTGTTAGTTCAGAGTTAAACTCTATTGGTATTATCTTCTATCCTAGCTCTTAAAAAATCTTTAAAAAAGGATTAAAAATCAGCCATATTAAACAGTAAGGCAGTTTTAGATCTATTCACATAATGTTTGAATTTAACAACTGTGTCTCTCACAAGGTCTCTTTGAAATTAAAATGTGATTGTAGGTTGTAATTTGTGTATATTTTTAATTTGGCCAAAAGGTGGCACCAATGTATCTTTTAAAAATCTATTTTACGTTATGCTCAAATTTCGCGTCGCTGTTTAATTCACTATTTATTTAGTACTTAGCTACTCCTGAATCTTGTTTTATTTTGTGATGACTAACAAGACTTTTTTTCTAGAATTCCATAATGTGTCGGGCACCTCTTTGTTTTGACATCCCTCTTTTTCTTTTTAAGATATTTATTATTTATTTATTTATTTATTTATTTATTTATTTATTTATTTGAAGGAGAGAGAAAGTGTACCCATGAGCGGGGCGGGGGGGAGCAGGGGGGGCGGGGTGCAGAGGGAGAAGTAGACTCCCCGCTGAGCGGGGAGCCCAGTGTGGGACTCCATCTCAGGACTGTGGGATCATGACCTGAGCAGAAGGTGGACACTTAACTGACTGAGTCACCCACCCAAAGGGGGATGCCCGTTGACATCCCTCTTTGATCAAGAAGCTTCCAATTTACATGTAAATATTATTTTTAAAATATAACATTTGTTGTGGTTGTTACATGAAGCATTTCTAAGCATTCTTTGCAAGTGTTTAACAGTAAGACCCTGGAATTTTAGTCCCCATCTCTTCATTTGCTCTTTTAATGAGACATCAAACTGTTTTTGGTGTCCTCCCTGATCAAGAGATAAATCCAGGGACATTTGAATAAATATTCCCTTGTTTCTTGCCTCCTGTTTCCTTTCTTCATGTTCACAACCTGTGAGGTTGGCCTATATATTATTTTCTGGAATTTCTTTTTCAACTGTAGGTCAATAACTGACTGTCTAAGCTGGCAGGGTTTTTTGTTTTAAGTAATCTCTGTACCCAAGGTGGGGCTCAAACTCATGACCCTAAGATCAAGAGTCACATGCTCTTCTGAGTCAGCCAGGTGCGCCTAAATTGGTATCCTTTATACTTTTTTTCCTTCACCTCCTGCCAACAAGTTCCATTTTC